ATAATTCAAGGCCCTGTCAACGGATTTCAAAGAGCCCCCCCCCCCCCCCCCCCCCGACTTGCTCAATGAATTAACGCAGACACACACACACAATCGCAAAGGGATTCCGTTTCCAGACCTGAACGTTTTGTGAGTATATGATGCTATTACCTAACTGCTATAAGCAAATCAGCACTCGATAGTTGTTATGGCCATATAAAATCGTATTTACTTCCTAAATTATTTCCAGATATTCCTTTTACATCTAGGAGAAAGGCTATACAAAATTTGAAAGTCCGCTTCCAGTAAAGTGGAACATGTGACCAGCGGGCCGAAAACAAATTATGAAAACAACTGCCTTACCTTACCACAGCTGCTACGTCTGTAAGTAAAGTAAAGTCAAAGGACCCTTTTCCACGCCTTTAGGCGTATAGGGCATATAGGGCTAGACCTATATTCTAAGGACCAATCGGCACAAGATGGGTGATGTGGTCAGCATCACGCCGGTCGCCTCTACTTCCCGGGACTGCACCCGGTACCCACTCAAGGCTGGGTCGACCTGGGAGCCAAGGTTATTTTTGAAAAAAGTCTGGCTCCGCCAGGGAGCGAACCCATGACCTTCCGATCCGCGGCGAGCGTCTAACCGCTCCGCCACGCCATCCCCCCCCCCCCACCCCACGTCTGTACTATATAAAATAAAATTTAAAAAAATAACAATGTGTCTGCCTGCCAGCATGTCTTGTCTCTCTTTTAGTCTAGATTTCAGTCAGCCAGTAACTATTCCTAAACGGTGACCAGTAGAAGGGTGACATTTGCAGATGCCATTCAGGCTGCAATGTCGATAGTGATATTTGCGGCAAATGCTTTAAGAATTTTTTTAAATTTTATTTTTATACCACAATCACACACACACACACAGAGAGAGAGAGAGAGAGAGAGAGAGAGAGGAGAGAGAGAGAGAGAGAGAGAGAGAGAGAAAGAGAGAGAGAGAGAGAAAAAGACTTGGGGGGGGGGACGGGCTCCCATTCTACCACACACACAAATTAATGTTGTACCCGAGTTGCGACGCCCATGTGGCAGATCTAGCCAGTAACTGCACGGGTAGTATCGGTAAAACGTCTTTGCATCTGTCCCAGATATGATCCGATTGTTTACTTCTCATAACGTTTCCAAAAACTTAACCACACTTGTGTTTTAAAGTGGGCGCCGTCTTCACGACAGAGGTTGGCTGAGGTAGACATTTGCTTTCTCTGCTGGTCGGAAAAGTGTTGCTGGTCAGTTGCTGGTCAGTTGCTGGTCAGGTTCTAGTGTCGGACACGACTTGACTCTTGAACCCCTGTCCGTCAGCCACCACCGCCTCCATCCACACCGGACTTCCGGTCACTTTGTAACGATTGTGTGGTGTCTCAACACAACTGTTCTGTGTGGCTCTACAGTTGAACGGGGTGTCCCAGATTTGTACAGGTCTGACTCTCATCCTTCAGATGGTAATTCTACAGACCTCGAGGGGAAGAGTTGAAACAAAATCTCTCTCTCTCTCTCTCTCTCTTTCTCAAAAAGCCATGAGAACAATATATTTTTCTAAACAGCCTCCAACATAAATCAAACCTTATTACGATCAGGATGGTGAAACGTGTCGTTAACCTCTTGATAACAGAGCCGACAACAAATAGAACATCCAATAGTCTAGATGTAGTAGAATTTGTCTGTGTGTGTGTGTGTTGGTGCGCGCGCACCTTACCCTTCTTCAAAAAATGTTGGCTGTTCACTTCAATTATCTAAAGAATATTCATCAATCTCCTGTAAAGTATCTCCCTCAGACCTCGATGGAAATGTGTTGTTTATTTATTTATTGTCTAGAATTTACAGAAATGTCTTAAAATATATTTAGTTACCTTAAAAAACCTCGTTGTCTAACTCGCAGTAATATTAATTTATTATAAAACATGTTCTTTATTACAACACTGAAAGCACTTGGGGAATTAAAACAAAACAAAACCAGAATAACAAAGACAACTCAACAATATAATGCGACCAACAAACAGACCTCTGAAATAAATTATTGTAACGGAAACAGCATGTCAAGGTAGGCAACTCAAGGTGTCAGATTACAGGGAGGTAACTTATTGAAAACAAAGTGTGTCTGCTTAGATGATCAAACATCAAACCAGCCAGCTTGCTCGTGTCCTGTCGCTGAGGCCTTATGATCTTCTGCACTCAATAGAGTAATTGTTTGTGACAGTATTTGGAGTCATTAATTAGGTAGACTATAGTTGTTGCCATTCTGCTTCCTGCTTGTCTATGTTGTCCTTTTCAGGACTGCAGCCCGCAGAGTTACCACCTGATTAGAATGAGTACCCTACATGTTCGGTTAGTTGCGTTTCCTTTACAGGACGTTGCAGAACCAACCCCAAAAGCCCCTGGCTGTTGTGTGGTTTTTCTAGGCAAATTTACGTCCAGTAGTTTGCCATTGCTTCCTAGACGGTCGGCTTTCTTGATACCACTGTCGAAACCAACGCAAGGCGCATGGCCCGCAGCTGGGATCGAAATCTGGCATCCCGGCATTACGAAGCGTTCGCATCGAATTAGCCACAGAGCCGACACCCTACAAGTACAAATTAATTATATATATATTATCATTCGTCGTCCCCTCATGGGATGCAATTTTTTGTTATTTTGAAGCTCTACCCTGACCTTTGCCGGGGGCCCTGAATATAGCCGGGTCATAAATATGGCCTAGCCATAGATATGTCACAACGGCTTAAAAGGGGTTTCTGTGATCCTCATCCGCATTGCGGCACTTTGGGTCATCAGGTGTTTATCGCTTGTGTGATGTCATGTTGATTTACTACTATCTATTTACCATGTAAACATCTGACTCCATACAACCCGGACCCAATATGAGACGCAATCTTTTACAAAATTATTTTAAAAGTCCCGGATGTAGTCAGGAGCTGTAAAATTACCTAACGGTTGAACGTGATTTCTGGGACTGCCCGGGTGATTCTCATCCGAATAATGGCACTTTGTGTCACCAGGTGTTGTGCGGTCCTGGCAGGGGTGAATGAAACTCACCTGTACCGACCCCGGAAGCCCTGTTTGACCATAAAGTTACACTGGGGTCGCAGACGGTTAGGAAGTAACCTAAAGCCGGACCAGGCAATATTCTAGCTTGCTTGTGTTTTGGTGCATACTACTTTCATGCCTTTAGTTTTATTGTAAGAGCTGTTAAATTACCAATGTTGGTACGTTCAGCCCACTGACCCAGGACTACAGCGTAACTTCTGTTGTGTCTCAGTATAAGCGTGCTGTGTGGTTTAGGCGTGGCGAAGCCGGGGTGCCGGGTTCGATCCAAGCTGTAGGCAATTTGGCAGCACACCGCCTTGCGTTGGGTTTGACACTGGTATCGAAAACAGACTGCTCAGAAAGAAATGGCAAACTACTCAAGGTGAATTTGCTTAGAAATACCATCATCAATCTGCAAGTCCTTTACAGAACGTCGCTCTCTTGACGGTACACCTGAAAGTATCCCTTTCCCTAGCCAGCTCTCCGGCCCTATGTGCTTTCAATGCGATTGCATCTTTAATGACCTGTACCCATCTTCGTGGTGGTTGACCCCTGCCTCGCTTTCCCTCCATGACCGTCTTTTCCAAACCATCATGACGTTTGATGTGGCCAAAATACTTCAACTTTCGGGGCAGGATGCTGTTAATGAGCCAGTTCTCCTTGATGGTTAACTCGTGTAGAATGTCCATGTTTTTCCTCTTCTTGGTCCCTGGTATTCTGATAATTCTTTTGTAATAAAAAAGCTCTAATCTTTTTCCCTAGTGACTGAGTGAGAGTCCAAGACTCACAACCGTAGGTTGCCACAGGAAAAATGCATGATCTCAAGATTTTTACTTAACCAATTTACTGGTGCTGTGCCATAGGTTTTTCATGCTATTTAATCTCTGCATTGCTAATACAAGTCTTCTTGTGTCATTTGAGCAGTCGCCACTGTCGTTCACTAAAGATCCCAAGTATTCGAAATCTGTTTCATTTTCGATTTCTTTATTTTCGATTATGATATGTGGTTAGTGTGCTGTGTTTACTGAGGAAATAATGATTTTTTTTTTTAAATTCAGAAAAAGATTCACTTCGCTGTGTTTTTTGACAGCCAGAATTAATTTTTCGAAACCTTGTACACTGTTGGAAAGGAGAACTGTGTCGTCTGCATATCTAAGTTCTGGGATATGATTACCTAGCTCTCACATTCCTCCTCGCTAACTGCGTTTTGCGTAATATTTTCAGCATATTTGTTAAAAAGGGACGGAGAAAAAATACCAATCAAAAGCCAAAACAATGCAAGGATTGGTTCTACAACGTACTGTAAAGGATACGCAACTAACGATTTTCCCCCCTTTAAATACGGCTTTGGAGATTTGTACCGGTGTGATTCTCATCCTTAAGTCCTTGAGATGGTTAATCCGACAGACTGCAATTCTGAAACAAAAAAGCGGATGTGCAAATTGGGGGGGGGGGGGGGGGGCGGGGGGAAGGGGGGTTAAAAAATTACTACCTGCAGACTGCTGCCGGGGTCAGGATGGGGGTGTGCAAAGAATTTAATAAATGGACACAAATTAACCACCACACCACCCCCCCCCCCCCCCCCCCCCCCCAAGACAAATCTGGACAATAAACTGATTAGACAGTCCAGATGTGTTGGACCTGTTATGAAAAGAAATGGACTCGAAAATTGTGTGGCAAATTGTGATGAGATAAAAGGAGCGGAAACGAGAGCCCAAAAACAAAACACAAAAAAAAACTTGAATGGTTGAGCCACATGTTTTCTAAGGTGGAACAAGAACACAAATTCAGACAGCTATATTGGTGTTTTTTTATAAATGGCTGTCTTAAATGACGAGCTATGACCTCGTGGCTTGTCAAGATCGCATACACTGATGTCGAATTTAAGCAATGATAACTTTGGCTAGATTTGACAACTCTAGAGAACAATAATTTGTATAAGTGAAGTCTCTCACCTGTAGATAGAGCACGACCTTGCAGCAAGCGGTGCCCAGAAACCAGGTCTCTATAACGTCTTGGATCAGTGTGGGCGGCAGACACACCAGAATCACCATGAAGTCTCCCACAGCCAAGTTCACGATAAACACATTGGTTACTGTTCTCATGTTGTGGTTGCGCCACACGGCGAAGCACACCAGGGCGTTTCCGACCAGCCCCACGATGAAAGTCAGGAAATAAGGAACTATAAAACCCCATTCGAAGTCTTCCGGAGTAATGTGTTCGTACAAATGATCAAAGTAGGTCGGTTCGTCCCAACAATATTCGTTCCAACATGGCGTAGTTCCGTTGCTTCGATTGGTTATCATCATATCCGTGGGCACGTGGCTTTCTGAAGTAGTCATTTCCGGTATGTTAATATGTTGCGATGACGTGTTTGCCTCCATCTTGCTTACTGTGTTACTAATGAGACTGCGCTGAGAATTCCTGACGGCAGATCTGGTGAGAAATGAGTGAACATGTATAAATAGAGTTCGAAAACGACAGGAAGAAAAGATCAACAACAAAGCAAAACTTGCAAGGTTAGGCATTTTTAACGACATTGAACAAACAAAATAAATTCCTAAGCAGTGAAAGCACTCATGTAACATAAGCAAATGGAGAAAGTAGAGGGCGCACTAGGCAGTGACTAATTTCATAGAGTAAAATATTGTCTAAGATAACTACACATGATTAAAATTCGTATGGTTGAATGGGGTTCTGTATATTTTCATCATGTTTATTATAAGTCGGTTAGTAAACAGTTTGAGAGCCATTTGCATGAGATCAGGAGCATCGTTTGGCTGAAGAACAAGTTTTGCTCGGGCACGGTGTGAGAGGTGATTCGGTTGCAAGGACTATACTTCCAGGAACTTAGGGGGGGGGGGGGGGGGGGGGGGGGGGGGGGGGGGGGGGGGGGGGAGTAGAACAGGACATAACATCAAGAAAAGAACAGGAGTAAATTACTCTACACTTGTTCAACAAACGGAAGACAGAAAAACACGGCGGGTTTTGTCTATTGGTGCTTGCATCGATCGATCCACCGCCACAAGTCTAACGTGTCAAGAGTTACATTGTGTTATGTTAGACAGTTTGCTTGTGCTTTTCGTCATATGCTTGCGTCAGAACAGGCAGACAGGCTACAGAATCTCTTCCCGTGGAGCCGATGAGACATGGATGTTGGCTGGGCTGCAGCACGTAACTTTGTGCTAGCTGCCTGCCTCTGGTGCTGACAGATGCTCTCACAGGACACATCTGGCAACGAGCGAACAGCCTCTAAACGTGTCTAAGTCGACTGTGCTCCTCTTGGCCATGTCGGAGTTGTTGTCTTGTCAGAGGCGCTGTTTGGTGATTTGGGGAAGGAGAACTTGTGAGAGGACAAGCAGCAGGATGTTGTTGTTGTTGTTGTTCTTCTTCTTCTTCTTCTTCTTCTTCTTCTTCTTCTTCTTCTTCTTCTTCTTCTTCTTCTTCTTCTTCTTCTTCTTCTTCTTCTTCTTCTTCTTCTTCTTCTTCTTCTTCTTCTTCTTCTTCTTCTTCGTCTTCTCTTCTTCTTTCTTCTTCTTCTTCTTCTTCCTCTTCTTCATTCTTCTTTCTTCTTCTCTTCTTCTTCTTCTTCTTCTTCTTCTTCTTCTTCTTCTTCTTCTTCTTCTTCTTCTTCTTCTTCTTTTCTTCTTCTTCTTCTTCTTCTTCTTCTTCTTCTTCTTCTTCTTCTTCTTCTTCTTCTTCTTCTTCTTCTTCTTCTTCTTCTTCTTCTTCTTCTTCTTCTTCTTCTTCTTCTTCTACTTCTTCTACTTTTCTTCCTCTTCTTCTTTTTCTCGCTCTCATCCTCTTTCTTCTTTTTTATTTTATTCTGTCAGTATATATCACTGCTCGTGTACACACCACTGACACACACATATACACACACACGTTTAATGCGGTACATCTAAAACATTCCTGTATTTGTTTACATAAAACAGTTTATTATGTTTTCACTATGTGCAGTCAGTTGAGCTTTTATGGTTTTGTTTATGTTTCATAAACCTCCTGGCTCGGGTGGGACGAACAATTAAAGTACTTTGTGCAGATTTTATGTCATTCCTAATTATAACTACTTAGCTGTTGAACTGGGTGTCAGAATTCGCCCTGTTGAACTCACTTCCAGGATGCTATTCATCGGGTCGCAAAAGTATGCAATTTAATTGAAGTCAGTCAGTGAGTCAGTCAACAATTAGTCAGTCAGTCAGTCAACAATCAGTCAGTCAGTCAGTCAGTCAACAATCAGTCAGTCAGTCAGTCAACAATCAGTCAGTCAGTCAGTCAGTCAACAATTAGTCAGTCAGTCAGTCAGTCAACAATCAGTCAGTCAGTCAGTCAACAATCAGTCAGTGAGTCAGTCAACAATCAGTCAGTCAGTGAGTCAGTCAACAATCAGTCAGTCGGAACAGGAATTGTGAGATGGCCCAGATTTGGACACAGAGGAGCTGGTCTACAGAAGTCATCCCCTTCCCCCCCTCCTCCCCCTCCTCACCCCCCTCTCCACCTCCCCTCTCTCCCCCTATCCCCCCCTCTCCCCTCCCCCCTCTCCCCCGCCCCTTTCAATACAATTTGAGATGTGAAAACCTGAAGGGCAACAGACCCTTTGAGAGGCATGCCGGAGTAGTGAAGGTAATGATGTCTTCTTTACAGAATGTTGCAGAACAAAACCCAGCATTTTGTGTTCGGTTGATGATTTTTTGGGGGCCATTTTAGGAGAGTAGTAAGAGTATCGGCATGTTAACGGTTGAAATTGTTGGGTTCTCTCTAAGGGAAACGGCCCGTGACGAAAGTGCTAGACCATGAGGCCTTAATACTTAGGCTCAAAGATCACCCTGCTCCCCGCTAACAGCTAAACAGTTGTAAACACCGGCAGTATTTGACAGTTGTTGTTGTTATATTGTTGGTGTTGTTGTTGTTATATTGTTGGTGTTGTTGTTGTTATATTGTTGGTGGTTTTGTTGTTATATTGTTGGTGTTGTTGTTATATTGTTGGTGTTGTTGTTGTTATATTGTTGGTGTTGTTGTTGTTATATTGCTGGTGTTGTTGTTATATTGTTGGTGTTGTTGTTATATTGTGGTGTTTTTGTTTGTTATATTGTTGGTGTTGTTGTTGTTCTTATTGTTGTGTGGTTGTTGTTGTTATATTGTTGGTGTTGTTGTTATATTGTTGGTGTTGTTGTTGTTATATTGTTGGTGTTGTTGTTGTTATATTGTTGGTGTTATATTGCTGGTGTTGTTGTTGTTATATTGTTGGTGTTGTTGTTGTTATATTGCTGGTGTTGTTGTTGTTATATTGTTGGTGTTGTTGGCAGTTCATTACTTCCAGCAGAATCTCGATACCAACACGATCTTTGTTTGGAATACAAACCACAAACTAGAACTTGTGTGACTTAAAATTGTTCCCAACATTAGTGCTCCCATTGTTGACCTCAATCGAGACAAACCCTCGGATACACGCCAATGACTCCACAGAGAAGTGTTACCCCAACAAATCCTCAAATACACGTAAATGACTCAACAGAGAAGTGTTACCCCAACAAATCCTCAAATACAAGTAAATGACTCCACATAGAAGTGTTACCCCAATAAATCCTTAAATACACGTCAATGACTCCACAGAGAAGTGTTACCCCAACAAATCCTTAAATACACGTAAATGACTCAACAGAGAAGTTTTACCCCAACAAATCCTCAAATACACCTTAATGACGCCACAGAGAAATGATACCCCAACATACCCTCGGATACACGTCATTGACTCCACACATAAGTATTACCCCAACAAATCCTCAGATACACGTCAATGAGTCCACAGAGAAGTGTTACCCCAACAAATACTCAGATACACGTCAATGACTCCACAGAGAAGTGTTACCCCAACAAATACTCAGATACACGTCAATGACTCCACAGAGAAGTGTTACCCCAACAAATACTCAGATACACGTCATATGGACGCACAGCGAAGTGTTACCCCACATTGCTTCTTCTTACACGTTCACGAGGAGTAGCACAGTAGAAGTGGGTTACCTGAACAAAGATTAAAAGTCAAACCTGCAAGACTTAGACATTTCACGTTATCGATAGAGACAAGAGAGAGGGAGCTCCAGACATCAGAGAGAGATCACGAGAGAGGCAGAGAGAGAGACAGACACATCACGCAGGAGAAGGCAGAAGACATTACTGAGGGCAGATTTGAGTTAAAGTCAAACCTGACGAGACTTAGCCATGTCCATGTAACGATAGAGAAAGAGAGAGAGAGAGACAGACACAGAGAGAGACAGAGAGTGACAGAGTGAGACAGAGAGAGACAGAGAGAGACAGAGAGAAAGAGAGGCAGACAGAGAGAGACAGAGAGAGGCAGAGTGAGATAAAGAGAGAGAGAGAGACAGAAAGAGAGACAGAGACAGAGAGAGACATATAAAGACAGAGAAAGACAGAGAGACAGAGAGACATAGAGAGACAGCGAGAAAAAGACAGAGAGAGACACAGGGAGAGACAGCGAGAGACAAGGGGAGACATGGTGAGACAGAGAGAGACATAAAGAGACAGAGAGAGACAGTGAGAGAGAGATAGAGAGACAGAGAGAAAGTGAGAGAGAGAAAGACAGAGCGACAGAGAGAGACAGAGAGAGACAGAGAGAGACAGTGAGAGAGACAGAGAGGCAGAGAGACAGAGAGACAGAGAGTGAGAGACAGAGAGTGAGAGACAGAGAGAGAGACAGAGAGACACAGAGAGACAGAAAGAGACAAGGAGAGACAGAGAGAGACAGAGAGTGAGAGACAGAGAGAGAGACAGAGAGACACAGAAAGACAGAAAGAGACAGGGAGAGACAGAGAGGCAGAGAGAGACATAGAGAAACAGGGAGACAGAGAGGACAGAGAGAGACTTAGAGATACAGGCAGAGACAGACAGACAGAGACAGAGAGAGAGACAGACAGAGAGAGAGAGACAGAGAGACAGGCAGACAGACAGACAGAGACAGACAGAGAGAGAGAGAGAGACAGAGAGAGACAGAGAGAGAGAGAGAGAGAGAAAGAGAGAGAGAGAAACCAGAATTTCAGATTCAAGTCAGGTTAGATTTTCATTAGTTAAGTACCCGTCCTGTTTGGTACACGTCCTGTTTGGTACCCGTCCTGTTCGGTACACGTCCTGTTTGGTACACATCCTGTTTGGTACACGTCCTGATTGTTATGCAGTTTTTGATCAAGTGCGAGTACGTACGTGATTGAGGTACCATGTCCATTAATTCGGTAATCACATAGAAGGGAAACAACTTACACAACGAATTCCGGCAGTGATGTTACTCCCCCTGGCGGACCCGAGGTCCACCCACTTGCACATTCATTTTTTATTTTGACCTTCTATTTGTGTGAAAATAGTTTGTCAG